TACAATCCTGATTGGAAAACTGAAGAAATGGATTCATCGGGAAGCTTGGTGGTTGGACTCAGCCTTTCTGGGGGAATTGCCTGGTCCTGGTGTCCCTGTCCTGTTTATTCAGACAGGCAGAGTTCAGCGTGGCCCCACTGGGAGAGTTGGCATACGACGCTGTAATTTACACCATCTATCTCTTTCTGGCTTTTGGGCCTCTGGCAAATTGTGTCTTTGTGTTGGATTAGTTTGAAATTTAATCATGCATTATTTTCCCTCCAATTAAATTATTTATATATTTGATTAACATTTTCACTGCTCGGAAGTCAAATTTTCAGTGAAACCACAAATAAACACATGCCCATTGAATTTCAGGCCAGCTCCACATGAGATCAGCCTGTCGGTTGAATGTTGAGAATTCACCGAGTGTTACTTTCCTTAGCTACCTAGGATTTTGGTGAGCAAAGAATGTGCGCTCTTTCCACTCAGTCCTAGGAACGTGATGCAAAGGGAGAAGTGTGTCTGGCCTCCTTCCCTCCCCTCGCTTTAGCCCAGGATCCAGATTTTATTCTTTCCTCCTGCCTTTTCTTTTCTCTGGCACCGAAATGTACCTCCGTCTCATTTTACATCCTCAGGCTTAAGAACCAGCCCGACAGACAAAGTCACGGGCTCTGCTAACCCAAGAAGGAAACTTAGAAATCATCTAGTTCAGGGGTGAGCACGCTGATGGCCTGCAGGCCAGATCCGGCCCACTGCTTGTTTTTACACAGCTCACGAGCAAAGAGGGGTTTTCACGGTTTTAAATAGTGGGAAAAATTTTTTAAAGAACATTTCATAACGTGAGATTTTCGGGGTCCATAGATAAACAGCTGTACCCGTTCACTGACATCTTGTGCATAGCTCTTCTCCTGAAACAGCGGCAGAGTTGAGTACTTGCAACAGAGACCTTTTGGCCAGCAAAGCCTAAGATATTTACTATCTGGCTTTTTACGGAAAAGGTTTGCCAACAGCTGACTAGTTCATCGCTCTCATTTGACCGGTGAGAAAAGTAAGGGCCAAATAGGGGAACTGACCTGTCCAAAGGTGGATGGCTCACAATTGGTCTTCTGATTGCCCCTGGGGCTCTCCCCCCTGTAACAGAAGGGCTGCCCTGAGATGTGCCTTCAGGAGCCCTTGCTGCAGAGGCCAAAGGAGCTTTGTGAAAGAAAAGTAAATTTTTAGGACGCGTGGATGTGTAAAGTCTATGATTTCGTAGAATTTTAATTTTCACTTGAAATTTAGCTCCAGGAAATATTTTAAGCTTAAAATGCATTTGAACTACCTAAATAGGCAGAAGGGCATCTCCATATTTCTTTATAGTAATTGATTATGTGTTGTGGTCAGCATTTGAACCCTAAAGACAAGCAAGAGGGACCTGTCCCTGCTGGCCGAGGTGGCGGAATCTCATTTCAAGAAAAATAACTTGTGGTCTCCATCCAAGTTCGTACTCAAAGCAATTTCAGAAAATTACAAAAGCATGTCAGACAGAACTCAGGTCCATTCTATAGGGCAGAAAGGGAAGATTCCCAAGATGCTGACCTTTGTGAAAGGGACGTTGCGTCCACGGTCCAGCACAGGGTCCTCCCCGCCCTCCTCACGCGAGACAACAGTGGGTGTTGTGCTTGCTGATCTGCACGGGGTTTCCAGCCCTGGAAGTTTCAGACATTGTCCCAGAGGCCAAAATCAATGACACTTGGCGAGGTCGAACGAAATATGAAATGATTTTTCCGGTCACTGCCTTCATCAGCTCGTTGTCAGTCCTCCCCCCCAGCTTAGTGGCAGACCCCCAGCACCCTTGTAGGCAGCTTCTACAAGTGTCCAGCCCCTCTGGGTCACTAAAGCTCATCTGGTGGAAGCCTCCAACCTCACATGCACTTCAGAGCCCTCCCTCCCTTTACCGGCCAGGCGTTCACTCAAGGGACCTGGTAGAGTGTTGGCTCCTCCTCCTAGAGTCTAGCTCCTCCAGTCTGTTGGGGAGGGGAACAGACAAGAGTCTCTTGGTCATCCCAGTTCCCCTGAGTAACTCCAATTAACTTTGATGCCTCTCTCTGAGGGGCAGACATCCAAGTGCTGGCTTTCTGGTAGGGTGTATGTGCGTTCTGTCCAGGGGTATATCCCGCAGTTTCGCCACTGGAGACCTCATCCAGCACACTGCATTTTAGGTGGGCCCAAGTTTGGCTACCTCAGTGGTATCCACCAGGCCCGTGGAAGTGCGTGCCTTCTTACCGCACCAAACAGTGGCGGTACAGGAAGCCCCCTGTGTCTGCTGGGCCCATTCTGTCCTGCCACACGTGTTACTCACCCTCTTCCTCAAAGGCACTAAGTTGTGTGCTTTTGCAGATGCTTCTGTCTCATCTTTCTGCAATGGCGTCCCTTTCTCCCCACTCCCATCCTCACCTGCACACCTGGTGGATCCTGCTTAGCCTTCCAGTCCTCCTTTATAATGCCACTTCTTTGGAGAAGCTGACCCTGATCTCTGGTACTCCACATGGATTTGGATCCTCTGTTAATTGTTTCTATAAAACCCTCTCACTTCCCTTCATAATACTGATCACAACTATAAGTGCATAGTAATTTAAGTCATTATCCATTTCCCTCCAGTAGACTGTAATTTGCTTGGGGCAGGAATCATGTCTGTCTGATCCCCCAGCACAGGGCGTGGTGTGGAGTGGCTCTCAGTACACTCGTGTAAATACCTGAGAGATGAATGAAATGTTGCAAAACCAGGGTATTCCTTTTCTTCCACCCAGCAAGATGGGATTCTCATTTGCATATCTTTCAAATCCTTTTGAATTCTTCATAGTATATTATTTTAAAGTAATAAAACACCTCACATTAAAATCTTCTTGTATGAGTACTAGGTGAAATGAAGTTGAGTGAAGATAAGCCAAAGCATAAAGTATAATTTCTTCTGCCCAGTGAAAGTTTAGTTTGTTGCATGAGTCAAGTCAGTTCAACTAATATTGATGCAGGATGTGCCAAGGATCAGGGACAATTTCAACTGCTGAGAACATGAAACTGAAGGCCAGGCTCCTGGCCTCAGGGTGTAGGCTCAGCCCACATTCTAATTCAGTTTTCCAATTTTAACTTTGCCTGCCTCCCTCCTCGCTTCCTGCCTCCCTGCCTCCCATCCTTCCTTCTTTTTCTTTCACGTCTATTAATCCAAGGATTCAAGCTTTATTTCCAATAACCTGGGGGAAAAAACTGAACAAGAGCAATTTTTATGTAGTGGTTTTGTGTGATCATTTATTTTTCTCCCTGGAAAGGAGAAGGCGTAGAACCTGTCTGTATTATGTGGGCTTAGAGGCTGGACTTTGGCACATATTTGGGACAATCCTGAGCGATGTGAATGGACAGCAAAAATGGACCTGAAGCATGAATTTAAAGATTGTGTGTCGTCCCCCGTCCAGCACGTCTGTTCTCTTCATATACTTACATGCACCAGCAGAACTTTCAAGAAACACCAATACTTAGGACAGTTGCCTTTTTATAGGAAACCACATCTTTTGCCATGAGGTTGCTATCCCATCGTGAACCTGAGAGATGCTGTGTAGTTTCTTTGTCATGTTCAGAGCTTCTGCAAGGATCCTGGTTGTCTCCAGTTCCCTGTGCTGTTTCACCGACTCTTCTGTTCCTCAGACTTTCTGGGAGCTGCTCACGGAGAGCAGAGTGAATAGTAATTGCTTTTCTCTGCCTCATGCAGTCTTAAACTCCAGAAACAGCAGGACAGCCTTCATTTTGTCCCTACAGCATAGGCCGCCTGGTGGAGTAACTGGGAAACGCCAACTGTGAGGGTGGAATTTTACCCTCAGGCCCCCAGGGACCGCTCATGTTGGAGCCAGAGGGGAAAGTAACGATCGTTCTGTGGCTGCTACTCAGTGCGTTGACCCCAAGGGGAGATTTCTGCTATTGGACAAATTTATTTGTGGAGTATTTCTATGTATGTTTGAGAAAGTGCTTGCAAAAGCCTTCAATTAAGGCAGATAAAATTGGGGTGACCAGAGGAAAAAACCAACAGGATCAACCAAGGACACAAATTTCCTCAGTCTGTAACCAGACATTTAAATCATAGAATCATCTTCTTGAAATTGACTTAAATTTGATCCAAATGAAGAATCTTCTCTTCCTCCCGTGCTGGTATAGGTTTCTCATGTCTCGCAGTCGTGGGGCACTTGATGTAAGACTCCAAGGAACTCTATAAAAAAATGATTCTAAAACTGTGAATTGATGAGGAATTCAGGGAAATTCGTCTTCATTTTAAAAACCAAATTAATAGGATTGTAGAGCTGGAGAGAACCTTAGAAACTAGATAATCCCTTCCATTATTTTGTGCCTGAAGACAGCTGAGATCCTGAGAGACTGAAGCACGGGTGGATGATCACCTGGTCCTCAGCTTCAGCATCTGGTTCATCTCTCTGGGCTTCTTATTCAAGAAGAAATTCCACTAATTGGACGTAAAGTGTCGTTTATAAAAGTGCTTTGTTTTTTCTTGCTCCTTATTACAAAATTGTGTGTGCGTGCACGCGTACACGTGTGCATGCATGCGTGCGTTCCCTTTCTGCAGCCTGAGCCCATGTCTCTAACCCAAGGCCTAGAGTGCGTGAGAGCTGGAGAGCACCCCTGTGGTCAGTTAGCCTTGACTCTCACTTGGCAGGTGAAAAATCACGGAGGCCCAGAGAGGACACGCGTGGCTCACCCCGTTTCACAACTCCACTCTTCAGATGCTCTATGTGGTACTTTTTCTGAGATGGCAGGCTGCCTCCAAACAGTGCCACTTCCTGCCAGTTAGGAAGTATGCATACACAGAAAGAGCAGGCTTACTTAAGAAATATACTAACTAGAGCCAAATAATCTGCAATATAAGGTTATCATGTAGGCTGTAAGGCTTAAGTTGGGGCATTTTTGGCACTCCCTTCTGTTGCTTTCAAGAATGAGTAACACAATTCCATTTTATTTCTGTTTCTTTTTCCAAACCCCAGCATATAAATAACGATCATATTCATGGAGAGAAGAAGGAGTTCGTGTGCCGGTGGCTGGATTGCTCAAGAGAGCAGAAACCCTTCAAAGCCCAGTATATGTTGGTAGTGCACATGAGAAGACACACGGGAGAGAAGCCTCATAAATGCACTGTGAGTACACAAGGGGGCAGGCTCTCGACTTAGGGTGTCACCTCCCACGAGTGGGTGTCAGGATTCGTCCCATGGACCTTTTGTCATACTCTCAGGGTTGTGCATCATGACTCCAGCTCAGAGGAGGTGCAGCTGGCTGGTACAAGGAGAGGGGTGGAGCCTTGTCTGTGATAAAGGTCTTGCTTCAGGGTTTTGAGAGAGGTTTTTGAAATGGAAGGGAAATGAGAAATGGAGAAAGGATGCTGACAGCTGAGCTTTAGGGGACGATGGCCACGTTCTGGACCTGCACTGTCCAACACAGTGACCACAAGCCACGTGAGCCTCTTGAGCACGTTTGAGATGTGGCTAGAGCAAGCAAGGAACTGATTTTTCAAATTTAATTTAGTTTTAAATAACTTAATTTTAAATATAAATATCCCCATGTGGCTAGCAGCTATCACGTTGGACTGTGCAACTCTGCATTCTAGCAAGTGGGCAGGTGGCAGCTGGGACGTACCGGGCGGCTCTGGGAATGAGCACATGGCCACCATACCTGTCCCAGCACAGCTGCCCATTGCGCCAGAAGACTCAGAGGGCAAAGGGAGGTGCCAGCTTCGACTTGAATGGCTCAAGATAACCCATATGGCATTAGAGTTTCTCCTTGCTCTCCTAGTCTATCCCCATGGCCCAGTATAGACTTATGAACCGGCCAAGCCTTCTTTCACTGAGGTGCCCGCCAGGCGCCCTGGGCACTGCTCAGCCCTGGTACTTTACATCTTAAAGGCCCTTTACAAACATGATCAAATTCCATGCCTTTGTCTGGGCACAAAACCATATTAATGAACTTTGTGCTGAATCTGAAATCAGTGGGAATTCAAGGAGATCAATGAGGAGATAATGAAACCCATTGTCCACACTGAGTGGTCTATTAAAAAAAAAAACTCCAGGACTCTGACTAGCACTGAAAGTGCTTTCTCTCCAACTGCACTGAGCCCCATCTGAATCCCAACAAATGCAGAGTTTAGTGGACTTTTGTTCCTTGGTTTTGAAAAGCTGCTGACCCTCGAAACGCCGGTCTTTCATCAACTTTGAGGGCGTGTGAGGCGTAAGCTGTTATTGTGTGGAGTAATCCAGATTTACCTGTTGTCTTCAGTTTGAAGGTTGCACAAAGGCCTACTCAAGACTAGAAAACTTGAAAACGCACTTGAGATCTCACACTGGAGAGAAGCCCTACGTCTGTGAGCACGAAGGTTGCAACAAGGCTTTCTCAAATGCCTCTGACCGCGCCAAGCACCAAAACAGAACACATTCCAACGAGGTAAGGCTCCTCCAGGACGCACACTGTGGGCGCAGAGCTCGTGGGTGGAAACAAAGAACCTTCGCCGGGAATGTGCCTGGAGAGGCCAGCCTGTTCCGATCTGTTTCCTCTTGGCCAGCCTGAGGGGGGGCTGACGCTGCAGGTGAAGGCTTGAGACCCCAGAGGGAGGGCTGAAAACTGGGCTGGGTTTGGAGAGTAATGCAGATGAAGAGGAAACTTCCTGAAACCCCTGGCAGGCAAGTTTCACGTTGTTCAGAGCTGCCACCTACTGGTCAGACAGTAGGAGCATTTAACTTGGAATTGCGTCCACTGGCTCTGCCTGAAATAGCCTGAATTGGTGCAAAGCATGACCCTGTGAGCACCAAGGATAGATTCCGAAGCGATGTGTTGACAGCTGACAGCTTACTGCTAAGACAGCCACTTTGAGTTGCTTTCTCCAGGTGTTATCTTCAAATGCATTATATCAAAAAAGACTTTTACAGAGCAACCAGCCTTGGCTAAATACAATTTCCAGACATTCTGAATTCCAAAGGATGGTGGAAGCTATTCTCAAAAACCCAGAATGGCTTCTAGTCAATTATTGAAAATAATGTATCGAGTAAAGCTTTGTGGTAGTGGGTGGATTCCGTGGTGTTGCTGTTACTTTTAGGTAGTTATCCCCTCAGACTTCCGAGAAGCATAGGAATAAACGTGATTTCAAATGATTTTGCTTATATTTGAATGTATGTCTGCCTGCAGACCTCCCACTTCTCCAGGAAAGTTTAGCTCCAATTCGGGCTCCTCTGTGAAGCCTTCTCTTCAATGAATCCAGAGACTACAAAAAGCCTCCTCACACAGTGTATCTAACCAGAATTTGTTAACATGAGACATAGTTCTGCCCCATGTGTCATCAGTTTGCTTCAAACGGGTGAGAGAAGGAGCCTTTGACCTTGGCGTGGCTCTCCTCTGACCTCATGAGGTCTTGGTCAAGCCCATTTGTGATCTTTCAGATGGAGAGCTGGGAGAGGGAATCTGGTAAAAACATGGCGCACATTCAGTTCACTGGCCATTGGCTGAAAGGTGGTGGAGATGACCCTCAAGTATAGATAGAGCACAAACAGCTCTACCCGGATTAACCACACTCTGCAAAGCACGCTCACCCGTGCAGTTCACACATGCACACTCTCTGAAAAGGTCCTGTTAGAATAAGGAAACTCAAGGCATTTAGGATCTATTCTTATGGATCAACTTTTTGAAGACGTTTCACGGGAGATGCCACCTCTCCCTTTTTTAATGTCAGAAGCACTTTTAGTCTGTGCAATAGTTGCAGGGTAATCTGCTGTCCTTGTTTTGCACAGAGTTTTGGGGAGTCCAGCATAGGCAAATCCACAGAGAGAGAAAGTCGATTCAGGGTGGCGGGGGAACAGGAGTGGCTGCTGATAGGTACCGGGCTCCTTTCTGAGATGATGAAAATACTCTGGAACTTGATAGTGGTGATGATTGCATAACACCGTGAATGTACTAACTGCCACTGAACTGTGCAATTTAAAAGAGTTATGTTTATGGCATGTGAATTATATCTCAATTTAACGTGTTTTAGGGGATTTAAGATTTGATTAATTTAACTTAGAATTCAGTTAATATATTTAACTACATTTCATATACTTAAGTACAATTTTGACTACAAATTTAGAGGGTGTTCATTCCTGTAGATTTTAGGACGAGGTTCTCTCCTGTTATTGTGGGGAAACTTGGGCACCGGGATGTTAGGATCGCCATTTTCTGCACAGAAACATACTTACTGCGCTTTTTGTCTTTTTATGAACTTAAAATATGCACATGTCTGTTGGCTTTAATTAAGTGCATTGTAGTTTAATTTTATTCTTCTATGAGGTAACAAGTGCCGTGATATATGAGAGTTTAATATCCATTAGGAGAGGAAAAGGCATCTTGGTCAGTAATACCTTTCCCCAAGGTTGAGCAGTTTACTTAAAATAAATTACTAATATTGACCATAAACAAATAACTAAAATTTTATTCACCAGCATGGAAGTCATTTTTCTCTGTTCTCTATACAAGGCTTTGGACTTGCATATAAATGATGAATAGTTTCAGATACACCAAAATTAAGTTTGACCAAGGAATCCAGATTTGTGTAATCAGACAATTCTAGAAAAATCCAGATATTTTCTTTCCTTTGTTTGCTCTCTTACTTGTACCTTCCTTCATTCACTCAACAAATACAGTTAGCTAGTTATGAGCCAAGCACTGCTATTCTAGGGGTGGCAAAGGGGTGGAATAGAACAGAGAGTAATTCCCATTCAAGGAAGCCAGTCCAGCTTCCTACCCCACCCCCAGGCTTCCCTGCCCACTTAGGGCCACTGGACCATAGCAGTGGCCTCTGATAGGACTCCCTACTCCAGGCCACACAGCTCCTGTTCCTCCCAAAGCCACACTAAGCAAGTTTCCTTGAGCTCTGATTCGGTTGTATCTCCCTCTCTGGAAAGTTCTAACAGCTCAATTTTAGACTCTTTAGGCTTATGGCCGCTCTCACCCAGCCCAACCCTGCCCTCCCAGTCTTGACCTCTCACCATGGTGACCATGAATGGAAACTTCTAGATAGCCTATGGTTGAACTGCCATGCCCACATGCATGAAGTGGTCCCACCGCTGGACCCTTGCTCAGGACGTTCGTTTTTGGCATCCTCTTGCCCTCATTTTTATCCCTCAGAATCTTGTCCTTCTTTCAGGACCCAACTGCAATGCCTTCCCCTAATCAAAGCTCCAGTTATTGAGTACCTACTGTGTGCCACACGTGGTGGCAGGCACTTTATGTACATTGTCTTGTTAAACCCTTCCCATGACCCCATGAGCTGTGCATTATACCCAACTTAAAAACTTATGCCTCCCACCATCATCCCAACTGAAAAATTATTCCCCTCTGTCCCCATCCTTCTGTAGCATGCACACTTTGTGTTGTAGATAATTACATGCTGTCTTATTTTCCTGTGGATTTTGGTCAGTGGGTCTTGTGTATGTCCACACAGGAGGGTACATGGGCACACATGTACTAGTGTGTGCTGGGAGCTCACGAACATTGGTAGATTCATTCCACCCCTAGCCGTGGTCTCATTTCCAGGCTAACACAATATACACACGCATGTATTTCTGGGAAGAGTAGCTCTTTGAACATGCTGGCCTGCCTTTGTGCTCCCTCCATCTCCTTCCCCATCCCTGCACTCCTGCCCCACACATCCCAGTCTGCCTGCTGATGGAACAGCCTTTCACAGCCGTGCAGTGAACAAGCCTAGGGCTGATGTCAGAACACCGTAAGGTAATAGCACTAATCGTCAGAGCCATTCTTCTCTCCCTAATGCATAGAATTTCATGTGCTCGTTTCATCGTATATATATGTGCTGCAAATCACACGAGCTTCTGAATAGAAGTAATTCACGGTTAATGGGAATCAATTCTACCCAAAAGAATCTCAAATTTGGAGGTGAAGTCTCTCAGGATAATTTTCGGAATCTTCGCTTCACTACATTAGGACATTTCATCATTTTAGGTAGCACTCATCGTGTTCTTGGGCTTTTAGAGAAAAAGCATCTTTTAGACACATATTGTCTATAAGACGGGGCATCTTTTTTAATATAATGGATGCATTATATTAATCATGCTTTTTATGACTATTGCTTACCTAATAGCTCATCTTCTGGTATACATAGATATAAATATATACCCATAAGCATTCATGAATATGTTAGATTTCAAGCTAATTAAACAAAATCACAGTTCCGATGTTGGTCGTGAATACAGTGCCAGGAGTTCTGTGATTTGAGGAAATATTCAGTTATAAGCATCCATATATCTGTAGGCTTGATCACTCACCGACATAGAAAATGAAATTAGCAGGAAATAATTGATAAGCTTAATACTCAAGAGCAGAGGCCAGACCAGGAGTCCTCGTCTCCAGGACACCATGCATCAGCCCTTTTTAGTTTATGAGTGAGCATTCACGGACAGTCTAGCAAGGCTTTACCACCTTGAAGATCAGAAAGATTCTGGATATTCTGAGCCCTGAGCATCCTCACACAGCTGAAATACCATCCAAAGGAACCTATTTTAGTGATATCTAACGTGGGAGAGGCTGTAGGCAATTTTTTTATTATGCCTATTTGTAAAGAGCGCATTTTCAAAGGGGACAGGGTGACGTTAGATCTGGGAACCAGGACATCCTTAAGAAATTTCTTCTCACAAGCTCTCCCAAACGGTACATAGCATTCTTCTGATTGGGTGAGGGGTGTCTTTTCAGCTGCCTTCCATCATCATCATCATCATCATCATCATCATCATCTTCCTCACCATCATCATCACCATCATCATCTTCAAATATCTATTGAGTAGCTACCATGACACAATGATGCTTCTTCCTACTCACAGGATAAATGTTCCCGAGAACATAAAGGCAATTTACACATTTGTAGCTCTCGCTGAGCACTCTCTAAAATGATCTCTTAAAGCTAGATTCTGTGGACCCTGAACAATGTTCAACTGGCCTTTATTAAACCCTTAGGACCCAGAGGTACTTGAACACCTCCAAGCTTTGTGACACTGCTGTGAAAGAATTAAAACTATCCTGTGCAGCCACAAAAGGCTGTCATTTCTGGGGCATAATCACTTTCTTAACAATCTGTCATTTCCTTCTGGTGGCATTGGCAGAAACCGTATGTGTGCAAAATCCCAGGCTGCACGAAGCGCTACACAGACCCAAGCTCCCTCCGGAAACACGTGAAGACAGTGCACGGCCCAGAGGCCCATGTCACCAAGAAGCAGCGTGGGGACATCCATCCTCGGCCCCCGCCACCACGAGATTCTGGCAGCCATTCACAGTCCAGGTCACCCGGCCGGCAGACTCAGGGAGCCCTTGGTGAGCAGAAGGACCTCAGCAACACTACCTCAAAGCGGGAAGAATGCCTCCAAGTGAAAACTGTCAAGGCCGAGAAGCCCATGGTATGTCATTCGCTTTCCTTCTGATTTTCCCAAAGCCGTCCTGGGTCGTTTCAAAGAGCCAGGAGGGCACTGAGAGGGCTAGACTGCTCCTGTCCTCATTGCATCGCACTGTCTGATTCAAGGTCAGGAGCTCAGTGAGCTGCATAGACTAGCTCAGCTCAGAAAAACATTTCAAGGTTTCCGAAATGGTTTTTAAAATTGATCTGGAACCATACCACCTTGTGGCAGGTAGAAAGACACAACTGTCTCCATTTTCAGTGGGCCTGTAACGGAGGGAATCATTCATTTGGTCTCTCTGTAAATATGTTTTCTGTCTTCTTTGCCCTGGTGACCCCTGGATAAATAAACCGTGGTCCCTATTCTTTAGGGCTTTACCGTCCAGTGGGATGGGTGAACCGAAAGAAAACAGCTACAACTCAGTGCGATGGGGCTTGAACACTAGTCTGTGTAAGAGCCTTCAAGAGGGGAACTAACCGCCAGTGTTCTTGAGGACCTGCTGGGGGAGGCAGGGCTGATGGTGACTGCCAAGTTCAGAGGTCAGAGCGGGGAAGGAGCAGGTCCTGGCATAGCCGAGCACGACTGTGGGGCCCAGGGGGTGTGCAGTAGTAAAAAGGGGTGAGGATAAAAAGGGGTATGCTTTGCTGGTGATGGAGAATGGCACAGCACGGCTGACGTTTTAGAAAAGACAACCCCAGCGCCAGTCTAGAGATTGGCTTGACAGACTGGGCACCATGTCTGCAGTGGTCCCTGGACCAAGAGATGGAGAGCAAGGGAGGGATTGGAAAGATGTCATTGGCAAAAATCTTTGTGGTTTGGTGACAAATAGGATATGTGGATTATGCTACTGTTGCGGGTTCTTTCAAACTTCAGTTGGTGATTTTGCTTTATGTATGTGCCATAATGAAACATCTAAAATTTTCCAAGAGACAACAAGACAAAGGGAGAGGGTAGCTATCAGAGGAGATTCAGTACCTATGTATTTGGCCATATGTATAATGGAGTCAGTTCTGTGAACGTGTTGGGTTCTAGTCTGTCACTCCCTGTGGGTGGAGGAAGCATACCAGATAGAAGCCATGTGCACAGACTTCCAGATGCAAGGAAAGGATCAGACAGGCAGACTTATACTCAGTTTAGGAAGCATTTTCTTAAAATTGGAAAAGTCCAGCAATTGGATGGACATCCTCTCAATTCCTGAGTGATGTCACTGTGTAGCAGTACGTATGGGCGAGGAATAATGCTCATACAATTCCAGCATCGATGGAGTGGAGTTTAATGACTTCATGAATTTTAATGACTTATTGAGAATATCTGTGAGTCTTAGAAAGTGACGTTAAGTCTAGCCAAAAATAATGCAAATAAGCTTCCAGATTATCCTTATTTTCCAGTGGGTAGCTGTACTTTGCTTTTAGAAAGCACGTTGGTAAAAAGTTTCTATATGTATTATGATCGATCGCTATATTTTTAAATTAATCAGTTTCTAAACTGTGCTTTAGATACTTTTTGGGGGGGAGCACGTATTAATTTTCTAAAATAAAATCCACCTGTATATTAATTGTGCAGAACATTCACCAGTTCATCCTCCAGTGTTTAATGAAACAAGGGAAGTGAATTTGTGGTCTCTCAAACTATGTCATTGAAAGACAATGATTTATGTCCTTAGGACATCCTAAGAGCCCAGAGTCTCTTCTACCTTGAATGTCCGTCCCTAGCTCAAGAAAACTTACCATCTCCTCTCCAAACACCCAATATTTAAAAAGAAAATTGGTAGAAATAAAAATTTTAGCAATTTGGCTCAGTGACATCCAAGATGCCCCAAGATGTGAAATATTTTATAAAGTAACTAAGTCATCAAAACATAGGGCTGGAAGAGCTCATGGAGATGAGACTAGGCCCCATATTTTACAGGTGGGGAAACTGAGGCTCAGGGACATTAATCATTAATGAATTAATCAAATTTCCACCATAGACTCTTTGTATGGAGATGTACACACATGAGAGTAGACATCTTCATAGACATGTACGAACGCACATGAGATTTACATTTCTAATAGTCTTTCTTTAAAAACTTGTCTTTGATCATCATGCTATAAATTAAATTCTTTCTTCTTTTTTCTTATTAATCCAACATCTCTTCTGTGTAATGCTCCTAAATGTCTTGTTCTCACTTCCTAAGGACAGTGGGTAATAAGGTGAGGGAATTTTGGCTTCTCTGCTCTTTCTGTTTTGTTTTCATTTTAACATTTAACTTTGATTCATTTCATTTTTCTTGAGTTTTTGTGCCTTGTGGTCTCTTTCATAGCGAACGTTGCTCAGATATGTTTCAAACATAGAAGCAATGTGCTGTGAACATTCAGCATGTGGAAATGTGGAGTTAGATGGTGAAATTCATTGTTCTGTTTGTCTAGGTTTTCATAGTAAATCACACTGGGGCCGACCAAGCAGGTGTTCTCAAAGGCTATTTAATTATCGTATTGACTAGTGTAAATTCAGACCAGATGTGCACCACCTTCCTTGAGGAAGATCTGGATACGTTTGTTGTTAGCACTTTAATCTATATTTAAAGGTCTGAACTCCTTGAAGCAGTTTTCTAATTGTAAGTACAATTCTGCCTTCTTCTGTGCCCTGGAAGCGTGAGTCTGCATGTGCGTGCATACATACACATACACGCAGATCCACGTACACACACACTCGGATTTGACAATCCAAGAGTGAAAGACGTTCAGAGCCCTGGATGCTCCAGGAGCCTTGGGAAGGAGCAGATGTCTGGCACTCCAAGACTCTGCTGACGCAAAACCTAAGCAAGCCTTCGTGAACTCCTGATCAGATTTGTGTATCTTCTTTTGCTCTGCTTGGTTGCCCAGGACAAACTTAGTGTATCACGTGGCACTCACTTAGAAAGTGTTCATTTGCTGGGTGTCTGTACTGTGGTCGCAGAAAAAGTGTAACAGGTTCCACTGAGAAGACCTGTGTCCAAAACCCCTTCCTGACAGCACTGTGCATTCCACCTGAAACCACAGTGGTCTGTAATTGAGTGCGTGTGGTTCTGTCTCCCTCGAGAATTTGCTCTTTTGGCTGCCATCAGGCTCCGTTTTCAGCATAACCCTGGAGAAGGGGCTGCAGAGGGATGGAAGTAGCGCTGGGCCGGGAGTCTAGGCTGGTTGCACTGTTAACTTTGTGACTTTGGGCAGTCACTGAACTTCTCTGAACATCACTTTCTTGTCTGTACGAAAAGGGTTAGATTATCTATCAGGGCACTGGTGGAATTTTAGATAGAACAGTTTAGGTTTGCAGATTGCTCACTGCAGGCCATTTTATTCAGTGCTCCCAGACATGGGGACAGCGAGCTCTCCACTCCCCATCTCCAGGAGGCCCTGGAGGGCATCCTTCCCCTGATGGAGAACCAGTGGACTAGATTAAGTTCTCCTCTAGTGGTAGAATTGTCTCACACAGTCCACTTGGGCGGGGTTAGGGAAACATGGCCCGACTGTCCTGGAGAAATGCTGGGGACACAGTGGGGGAATGGAAGGGCCTTCCCCAGACCCTGGATGTCTGTGACTGGCAGCCTTTCTGGCCCTCTGGGCATAGCAGAGGCTAAGGGATTTGAAGTTTTCCCTCTTACAACTGCCTTTACCGACACCCTGCTTGGAGTTCTACAAAGTGGGACAATGTAGAAGGAAGGGGCAGAGGTTACAAAGAGCTTGGGGCCCAGCCCTGGACAGCTTAGAGGGCTCTTGCTGGAGAGCAGGTAACGTGTGCTCATGGAGCACAGCTTCCAGCTATCTTTTAGCTGAGCAAGATGGAGTGAGGACTAAAGGCCCCTAGGACAATAATAATTGCCCATGCTCTCTGAGCCAATCAGTTACTATTATCCAGGTCTTTTTATATTTTGTGTGCTCTCAGGGTTTCATACTTAATTCCCACAATCCCTAAGATAGATAATCTATCTTTCATAGCTAAGGAAACTGAGGTTTAGAGTGGCCAAGTAATTTGCCCAAAGAATAAAGTCGTGGAAGTGGGATTGGAACTGGGGAAGTATGTTTGTGGAGTTGGCATTTGGGACAGGATTCCATGGCTGGCATCATGCAATCACCCCACATCCAGCACCCCCTGCTGTCCATTGCTCCCCCGCTGCACATCCGCCTGGTGTTCCATCCGCCACTGTGGTCCAGAGAGGCCGCCTCCATTCACCAGAGCATGGTTCTTCTCCTCATTCAGCCCACTGAGAGTCCTGCAGGTCTTGATCCGCATGGTCTCTCATTCTTGGCTCCCTTTCCTTTTTGTTTCTTGGTAACATTTCTGTCCTTTCCTTTGGACCCCAGCAGACATCTCAGCCAAGCCCTGGTGGTCAGTCTTCATGCAGCAGCCAACAGTCCCCCATAAGCAACTATTCCAACAGTGGGCTCGAGCTTCCTCTGACCGATGCAGGTGGTGTAGGAGACCTTGGAGTCATCGACGAAACCCCAATCATGGACTCGACCATTTCCACTGCAACCACAGCCCTCGCTTTGCAAGCCAGGAGAAACCCGGCAGGGACCAAATGGATGGAGCATGTAAAACTAGAAAGGCTCAAACAAGTGAATGGAACGCTTCCGCGACTGAACCCCATTCTACCCCCCAAAGCCCCTGCAGTCTCTCCTCTCATAGGAAATGGTGAGTTTGGCATCAGACCTCGTGTCTGCCCAGGGGTTTCTGTTCTTTTAAATGCAGCCAGGTCACTGTGAGAGGAACTGGCGCTTGGTTTTATGTTTGGTAATTTCTCCACCGGCCCTAAAATGATGCTCCTACAATACATATTAATGTTGCCTTTCTGGAAGAGTCCATATTTTAAAAGCAGGTAGTCAGCGGATAATACTAAAACAAAAAGTAAGACTGCATGACTCCTATTCCGATGGGGGAATCGTAGCTATTGGACCAGGGAAAGGAAATCCAGCAGCAGAGGCGCCTGTGGTCTGTGTCTGTCTCTGGTTTCCACAGTCTACAACCAAAAGGTTAGCAGCCACCTTGACTGATGTTTGTCCAGTTCAAGGCAAGTAACCTTTGCCATCGTCAGCCCCAAGGCAGTTTTTGCTTCTGAGATTACACTGTTTCCTGGAGCATATCCTAAGGGTGAGCCTCCCCACCCCACTAATTTAGGTGAGTTACACCTTCATAGGATGTCACAGGAAGCCCTGAGTGTGGATGAGAAACTCCTGGAATGCCTTGGGCCTGTGGACTTCCTGTAACTTGAGCACTGTGTATACATTCTGGGACCCTTCATTTTGCTTTTGCGTTATGCCATTGAAAGAACTTCACTGATCCAGGCAGTTGCTATTGCTTTAAGCTGGATGGACAAGCCTTGCCCACAGCCATATGCTCTTGTAAATAAAGTTTTATTGGCACCAGCCTTGCCCATTCCTTCACTATCACCTTTGACCCTTTGGTGCTACACACCGGAGAGAGGTGGCTGTGACAGACATGCCTGGCCCAGGGAAATGGAAAATAGGACCTGGCCCTTTACAGTTTGTCCAGGCCTTTTTGAAGTCATCCTGACATGGATGCCTCTCTCCCTCACTTTCTCTCCAGGCACACAGCCCAGTACCAGCTGCAGTTTGGGTGGGCCCATGACCCTTCTCCCGAACAGAAGCGACCTTTCTGGTGTGGACATCACCATGTTGAACATGCTCAACAGGAGGGACAGCAGCACCAGTACCATCAGCTCCGCCTACCTGAGCAGCCGCCGCTCCTCGGGCATCTCTCCCTGCTTCTCCAGCCGGAGATCCAGCGAGGCCTCGCAGGCCGACGGGCGGCCCCAGAACGTGAGCGTGGCCGACTCCTACGACCCCATCTCCACCGACGCCTCGCGCCGGTCCAGCGAGGCCAGCCAGTGCGACGGGCTGCCCAGCCTGCTCAGCCTCACGCCCGCCCAGCAGTACCGCCTGAAGGCCAAGTACGCCGCCGCCACCGGCGGGCCACCGCCCACGCCGCTGCCCAACATGGAGAGGATGAGCCTGAAGACCAGGATGGCCCTGCTTGGGGAGGGCAGGGAGCCCGCGGGGGGCCTGCCCCCCGTGCCGCCTCCGCGGAGGTGCAGCGATGGGGGCGCCCACAGCTACGGCCGGCGCCCTCTGCTGCCCCAGGACGCGCTGGGCAACGGTGGGAGAAGAGCCAGCGACCCGGTGCGGACGGCCTCGGAGACCCTCTCCCTGCCCAGGGTGCAGCGCTTCAACAGCCTGAACAGCTTCAACCCTCCGGCTTTGCCTCCATCCCTCGAAAAGCGCAACTTAGTGCTGCAGAATTACACTCGGCCCGAGGGGGGCCCCTCCCGCCACTTCCACTTGTCCCCCTGTCCTCCGAGCATTACCGAGAACGTCACCCTGGAGTCCCTGACCATGGACGCCGATGTGAACCTGAACGATGAGGATTTCTTGCCCGATGACGTGGTGCAGTATTTAAATTCCCAGAACCAAGCAGGTTATGAGCAACACTTCCAGAGCGCCATGTCTGACGACAGCAAAGTGCCCCACGGGCCCGGCTTGGGGAGCGGGCACGGCGACTTTGACCCGCCCGGGCTGCCAGACAGCCATGCCGGCCAGCAGTACCGCGCGCTGGAGCAGCCCTGCGCGGAGGCCAGCAAGTCCGACCTGCCCATCCAGTGGAACGAGGTCAGCTCGGGCAGCGCCGACCTGTCGTCCTCCAAGCTCAAGTGTGGCCAGCGGGCCACGGTGCAGCAGGCTCGGGCCTTCGGGTTGTACACCACCGCGGGCGGCCACCCGCAGAACCCCCTGAGGAATGGGGGCGGCCCAGCTGGGGGGTATCAGGCCCTTGGGGAGCCTGGTGGCACCTACGGTGGCCCAGAGCACTTGGGGAGCCCCAGCGGCGCCTTCCATGAACAGCCCTATAAGGCCCAGCAGTACGGGAGCTGCCTCCCCAGGCAGCCCGGTGGCCCTGGCCTCCTGCTCGATGGTGCCTGTGGTGCTGGGGTTCAAGCAACAAAGCTGAAGAGCACCACCATGCGAGGGAGCGGGAGCCAGCCGGAATTTGGCCTGTCGATGGGGCCCAACGAGTCAGCTGGCAGCACAGTGGGTGGCATGCCCACCCAAGACCCCATGGGACAGGGGTACCTGGGTCCTCAGCTGCTCAGCGACAGCATGCACCAGCAGGGGGCAGGCCGCCCCGGGCAGCAGATGCTAGGGCAGCTTAGTGCTACCTCACACCTCAACGTCTATCAAGGGCCAGAGAGCGGCCTGCCAGGGCCTCTCAGCATCAGCAGCCAGGCCTCAAGCTTGGCAGCTGTCAGGGGCTACCAGCCATGTGCCGGCTATGGGGGCAGCAGGCGCCAGGCCGTGCCAAGGGGCAGCCTCGCTCTGCAGCAAGGACAGCTCAGTGACACGAGTCAGACCTGCAGGGTGAACGGCATCAAGATGGAGATGCAAGGACAGCCCCATCAGCTCTGTTCTAACGTGCAGAGTTACTCTGGTCAGTTCTATGACCAAACCGTTGGCTTCAGTCAGCAGGACATAAAAACTGGTTCATTCTCCATTTCAGAAGCCAACTGCCTGCTCCAGGGGGCCAGCGCCGAAAACTCTGAGTTACTTTCCCCAGGTGCTAACCAGGTGACAAGCACAGTTGACAGCCTCGACAGCCATGACCTGGAAGGGGTGCAGATTGATTTCGACGCTATCATAGACGACGGGGACCACGCCAGCCTGATGTCAGGAGCTCTGAGCCCCAGCATCCTTCAGAACCTTTCCCATAGCTCCTCCCGCCTCACGACACCGCGAGCGTCCCTCCCGTTGCCAGCGCTGTCTTTGAGCACCACCAACATGGCCATCGGGGACATGAGCTCTTTGCTGACCTCCCTCGCGGAAGAGAACAAATTCCTTGCAGTTATGCAATAGGCGTTAGGAAAAAGGACTGCCAAGAAACGTGAAACTTTAGGAGTTTAAAAGATTAAATGGACTCAATTTTTGCTGGTTTGTTTTTTTTAGTTCTGTATGTATTTTAGCATTCTCATCTCACCTAACTGGGATGTGTTTCAAGTATATTCCTTTTATGGAAAAGGACTCTGAAAAGCCCTAAAGTATTCTAGGGAGAAACTGTCTTCCATTTCAGTTTTGAATCAGTATTGTTTCACTCGAACCACCCTCTTTTTTTTTTTTTTTAAACTGTAAGCCCGCCCCCCACTTTTTAGTAAACCAGTGTAAATGTGTGAGTGCATGTTCTTCTTTCTTTTCGAAGAGAGGTCAGACTAAAGGATTGGACATGTTCCTCTGTCACTCAAAGGAAGTAGGAGTTGGTGTGCTTTTGACCAAGGGGTTACGCTTCCAGTTTTTGAATCTTCCTTTACATATGCTCAACGTTTGTTTTTGGTTTGTGGTTTTTTTAATTCCCACATTGGACGCAAGGATCAGAACGTGGATAGTGAGTTGAAGAATCTTTTGCGAGTGCAGTGTAGCACAGATAACAGATGTTGGACATGCTCCCCACCCCAAATTCAGTTCAGAGCATACTTTCAACAGTTGCGCACAGTGGAAATTTGGGGCTCTTGCAAGTGAACTCGTTTGCTCCCAGTTTGGGTTTAAAATTCTTCCTGTCCATAGGTGTGCTCTCCGTGGGTGTGTCTATATGGTCAGTCCTTAGTTATCTCCTCTGCCCATCTCCCTCTGTCTTAATGAATGTTCAGTGCTGTTCAGCGCTCCGGGGAGAGAGGGGAGGGCACTGTGACACTCAGACACGTTGTTACTTTCATCTCTTCTGATAAGAAGTGCGGTAGATTGTAGGTTGAAGCTATAGGGTAGAAGTAGCTTGGGGAATAGGTGTGAGTTTGCTGTATTTGTTGATGCATTCCATCTCTTCCCCCATTATCATTGATAACTGAGAATTGATTATATATATAGTTCTAAGTATATCGGTACTTAACCCCACAGCCAGCTATGTCGTTAACATTCTACTAGAGTGAAGGGGTATTTCTATTCGAAGTGCCCTATTGTAGGGGATTTATAAAACTTAGTTGGAAAAGAAAAAGCTCACATACAGTGATATTGGGAATAAATTGCTTCAACCGCTTTTAGCGTTTGAGAGCACTTGGGAGCGTGTTGGTAGCTGTGTGGATGCCTCTTTTTACAGCCTATCTATGAAATGCTGCATCCTTTTAAGAAGTGAAATGTTCTATGCAGTTTTTAGTCCTTAATGTGGACTTCATCTGGACTTTTGTTTTGGGTTAAAACATTTAAAAATTTGAGAAGGACAGCTACTCCCATGTGCATTGATACACATAAAAGACATACTGTGTGTGCACAGAGTACGTGGATTGTCCAGCATTTTACTTTTAAACGTGTAAACTATTAAAATAAAATATTAACACCCCAGACTACCTGCTGTATTCTGTCCCCTTGACCCTGGCATTGGACTTATCCAGAGTGATTCATGAGTCGGTTGTTTGACTTTTTCCCTTTATTCCTGCCACTTAAACTAGTATTAGAAAGACAAAATCAAGTAAAATAAAATATTAGATAATAGAAAGAATGTTAGGACCAGCCCAGTTTTCTCATGTTTATTTGCTCTCATTTGGACCAAGAATCTCAGTGGGGAGGTTGACATGCCCTTTAGGACTTTGTGGCCAAGAAAGTCAGGTTTGCTTTCAATTCGGTGTTCCTGAGATCAGCAGGGGACGCTGAGGTTTCTCCTGCCCTCCTCCCACAGGCGGCACCTTCCTTTAGATCCAAGGATGCGTCCGCCTTGGAACAGAACCCAAAAGCAAAAGACAAGTGATCTGAGCTCAGTAGAGTGGCGTCTCTACCACTTTTCAATGGAAAAAGCAAGGCTTTTTCTGTGTTCCTCAAACAGGTCATCATCTAGTCACAGAACCAGTGATCCCTTCCCTGAACCTCCTTTGTTCCTGAACCTCAAAATCGCCAGGTCCTGGACTCAGCTTGCCAGCTCTTGTGGTTTGGCCCAGTCCGGGTCCTCTGCCTGAGTCCTTTCCCCAGCAGTACTCCTAGACGTGACCCGCATTTCTCAGTTACCTTAGTTTCCCTTCTCATCTTGGCCCTACATGGAAGGATGGGCAGCGACTGGGATGAGCACTGTTGTCATCTTGTGCCTCCGCTCTTTCAGGTCATTTTCTGGGTTGCCTCCTTTCTCTACTTTTTCTTTTCGTACTTGTTTTCCTTACTACTGCCTTTAGATTTGCAGGAGACATACTTCAGCTCACTATGTAGCTTCTCTCAACATGGAAATCTCAGAAGGGTGGAGGAGAGAAGGGACGGAAGAGGAAAGGGTACTTTTCCAGGAGTTCAGTGATCTGTCATGACAGTCAGTGGAAGGAAGATCTCTTGGGGCCACTCTGAAGTGTCCTGTCTGTAGACTTGGCATCTCCCGTGGTGGGACACACCCCCAGCCTCCACCCTTCTCTCCACTTCTCTGACCCGTGCATTTAGCGAGATGGTGCCACTCACTGGTGTCACGTCCTCGTCTTTAATACAGGCTCATACGTGGTACTGCTGTTTAACATCTGTGTTAAATGTGTTTTTATTTGTCAAACCATTTTGTTTTATTTTCTGAAAACTAATTGGACTGCCCCTGTTCCTCACACAGTGGCTCCTTCTCTTGAGCCACAGAGTTTTGATTCTTGCGATGTATGTGCCTTATTTTATGTTAATCTTGTCGATGCGAGGGACCAGTTGGTGTTGCCCAATCAGAGCTCGAGGCTGCACGCTCCCCGGCCAAGAGCACGTGATTGTCGCAGAGTCTGAGCTGTCTTGTAACCTGGTTTCCCATGTTGTTTTGAACTGATAGGAGGATGTTCTCTTCTGACAAGTTACTGTTGTGTATCCTGCAAACGTGTAAGATAAAAATACAAGTTCATTTTTTTCACCTTTTTTAGATTTTTAAAAAATAAAACGTGTAATCCTTTTTTAAAAGAAACACATGTAAATACATTTAAGTATTGTAGGCATAGTGTTCGGACGTGGCCGGCCCCGGGCCTTCCTCGGATGAGCCTCCAGCCCGAGCGATGCCCCCGCGCCCACCTCAAGCCCGGGGCTGCAGCCCCGCCACAGATGGACTCGACTTTGCTTTCAGAACCACTTAGTCCTTTTGTAACAAAGAGAAAGAACGATGTTTCTTACAATGTCAATAAAAAACTCTTTGTACTGAAGTTTTTCGTTAGTTTGTTTCATTCATAGCTGAATGGAAAGAGTGCTTTCTTTGGAAAAATCCAGAGCCTGCATTTGGACCCAGAACCCCCCACGTCCAAGCTGAGTGCCCTTTTGCCCTGAGCCCAGATTCCTCATCGCGAAGCTGGAGACGAGGCTGCTGATAGCCCTGCTGGTGGTGGAGGCTTGCCTGTTGTAGCTAAACTCTGTGAGAAAGGACATGCAGAAGGTTTAACGTCTAACAACTTGTCCTTCTTTTACATATCATCCTCTTGTTTCAGAGATACCCCAACACACGTTCACAGAAAATCTAATGTGGTAGGAGCCTACTTTTAGATGGCTTGCAGTAACTGACTTCAGACAGGAATGTAAGCTCTTCTCACTTATCTTTTCTCATCAGCTTGCAGTATTATCCACCAGATGACCATAAAAACTCCAAAAGGCTCCCTTCCTCTTTCTGAGTAGTAACCAGTGCCCTTTGAGCCACCAACCGAGGGCACTGGTTGTTGCTGGGAAGGACAGGAGGTCCTGGTTGTCAGTGTCACAGGGGTACAGGGATGGGTGCGGCCCTTGTGCAAGTGCACACACACACACACACACAAGTGCACATGCACAGGGGCCCCAGCACGTGTACCAGGGCAACTCCCGTCCTGTGGGGGATGGTGTCTCCCTCCCTCTCCTCTAGCACGGTTTCTGTAGTCTGTGAGATGCTTCATGCTTTTCTAGTTCACAGGGAGAGTTTCCTCCCATAAACCCAAAATTCTTTGCTTTTATAGCTAGATCCCTCACATAAGGTGTCCAAATGAATTCAGAAAAAACATTAGAAAAAATATGAATGTATCCTCTGCTTTGGGTACAAATCATCAGCTTAAGCTTACAAAGATGCAGGCGGCTGAGCCAGTCAAGATAAATAAGAGAAATGAGGCTAATAGAAGGGGAAAGGAGGAAATGGGCCACGCCCAGGACTGAGGTGTGAGTGGCATGCGGTCCAGCTCACAACTTCTTTTGAAAGATGCCTCCTGTGGAGGAAGCAGTTTGAGGTAAACTGGCAGAGCGGCAATCCATTTGGTATTTCATAAAGATTTGAGTAATTTTTGGAATTCAAAGATGTTCTGTATTACAAATAAGAACAGAATGGGAGAATGCTAGAGTAAGTTGGAAAAATTAACCCACTGCCAAAATGTCTTATTCATCCTTTTTTCCTCCAGGGGTTCTCTCTTTGTTTTCTTGGCAGTTTTCCCCCTTCGGTTTTACTTTGTAGTATATTTACTATTCCAAATACAATCTGGGTTCATCTTTAATATTAGTTTTTATGTTTTTAAATCTCGTTTTGCACAGATCTAGTTTATGCCTTCTCTACCTACTTACACAACCTCTTTACAGTTTTTAGACATAATAGTAGAATCTGAACTCTTTTTAGACTTTATTTTTCCTTTCCGTACACTGTGAGGCCACAGGCATTTGCCCAGGCTCACCCAGCAGAGGCGGGGAATCTTAGTCCTACAAATATTCTCACCTGTCCCCAAATCTTACACTTCTTTCCACACTGCTTCCATCCTTCCTCCACGCCCAGCGGTAGGTTAAGCTCGTCCCTGACTTCAGAGAATTTGCAGTTTATCTGAGAATATAGGACAGACAATAATTAGGTGTTCCACTAATTTGACAGCACTGCCTGGAGAGCTAATACTCCATTCAGACCCCTTGATAGGGACTGGATCCAGGAAGATGAATAAAGCAGTGTGTCCATAGGCTTGCAGCCCAGTGGGAGGGACAGACATGAGCACAGAATACAATGGCATGCCATAATGGAAGACGCTCAAGGGGACAGTCAGTGTGGGGCATTATTCCATCTGAAGGGCATATGGCGGGGCTTCTCAACCTCAGTGTTACTGACATTTGGGGCTGGGTAATTGTTTGTCGTGGGGGACTGTCCTGTGTACTGGAGGATATTTAGTGACATCCCTGGCGAATACCCACTAGATGCCCATAGCATCCCCCCCCGAAGTTGTACCAGCCAAAAATGTCTCCAGACATTGCCACATGTCCCTTGGGGAGAAAATGGTTCCAGGTTGAGAGGCTCCGGTTTAAGGACTGAAAAGAGACAGAGAGAGACATACTACAGGCAGGTGCCCAGAAGAGAGATTCCAGCACAGACCCAGACTCCGGAGCCTTTGGGACACAAGAGACAGATGAAGCGCCATTACTGGGCCCCGTGTAGAATGAGAGGAGGACTAGGGAGCAAACCTCAAGGCATACTGGCCCCATGGACCAAGAGAAGAGGTGGGCACATGTGAGGCGGACTGGCCAGAGCAGGAGAGGGAGGTCAGAAGGCAGGAGAGATGGTGTGCTCTAGAAACAGAGGGCAGCGAAGTTCAGGAGGCTGACATTGTCAGAATCATGGAGGTCCAGTAAAACATGGACTGAAGAATACTGGTTTTCAGAGTTCAGAGCCCCTGGGTGAGCATGGGGAAGTGTTTTTCAGTGGGGTGTTTGGGAACAGAAACAGATCCCAATAGCCGAGGATCGAACAACACCCACAAGGGGAATTGAGCGGCCTCTTTCAATAGCACGCCCCCTCCATCGCATCCAAGACGCCATCACTGCTCAGCCACGTGGTGCTCCGTGTTCCCACTAAGAAAGAAAAACACCGCAATTAAGTTATGACCTGATGCTTCCTAGCCTCGAAAAGACACGTCGCAATTTCGGCAGTGTAACCCAGTGGGGACAATGCACACTGAACCTCAGAGAGTATGAAATACACTATTTCCAAAGGAAAGGAAAGAGACAGTGAGTCAAGGAAGGGTGGAGAGGTGGATTTTTCTTGTAGTTTTTACCTCTTCCTTTCTTCCATATTTTCTTTCTTCTTTCTCTCCTTCTTTCCTTCCTTCCCTCCCTTCCTTAATACAAGAGGCTTGACCGTGTTCATCACCCCATAGGAAAGAGGCAGAAGAGAGGGGTGGTTGGTGTTAGTGGACAGAGCAAGCATTGAACTAACTGGACCATGAGACAGACACCTGTCCTTCTGGAAATGAGGGAAGGAAGGAGGCATGAGGGTAGTTTAGACAGATGTGTGGAAGGTACATGAGGTCAAGAAGCTGAGGGAATTCAATGGTGATGGACCTGTGAAGACACAGGGTGATCTGGTGCTGAACTTGCACTGGGCCTTTAGAATGAGTAGAGAGCGAGGAAAGGAGTAGAAGATAGGAGGGAACAGCATGAAGCAGAGTGAGGCTCAGGAGTAAATACTCACTGTTACGTTCCTGCAGGATCTGGATTGGATTTACCAGGGGCAAGACTCAGATGGGAGATTATATTGTTCTTTTCAGGGAAAATAACTTTTAGAAATACCTTTTGGCAATGAAGGTGGGTAGGGGAGTGGAGGTGGTTCCCTTGGAATGGCATGGAGCTCAGAGCCGCCCTGCTCCTGCTCCAGGGAAGCCCGAGTGGGCAAGTGAGGGCTCCAGCCAACCCTGCAAGGGCTGAGCACGCCCATGGTAGTGGGGTGCTGGGGAGGACCAAGACTGATAGACAGGGCTGTCCCTCACTGGCTCTTTACCAAGTAAGCAAGAAACTTCATGAGAATTCCCAGTTAAGAATGCATGGGTTATTTATTCCTATGACAGGACTATTTTAATGAATAACAGGCTAATTCCCCCACTCTTCCCTCTGCTTCCCACCTGCCACAGCTCTGCGGGGCTCGGCTCACACCTCCTTCTCGCTCCCACTTTCCCTTCTGCTTGAGCCTTCCCGGGCCTGGCTGGGTGGGAAGGGAAAGGAGGCCCAGCAAGTCGCCATGCAAGCTGGAAGGAGCACCAGCCTCACCCGCGAGCCCTTCCCTTGGGAGAGAGGCAGCTGCTGCTCGATACAGCAGGAACAAACGGGGGTAGGGAGCGGGCGTGGACTGACTTGACTCTCTTCCTGTGCTACTCACATCCAATGGGGCTTCTTGCTCAAGCTCGATCTAAAGTGACTGTCTACTCACTCCAATCAGAGGCAGCTAACACCCTATCCTGTCCCCGCTTTTGAAAAAGGTCCAGCCTTGGAATCTGCTTCTAATGCCATTAGCAAAAGGGATATCACAACAGTCACCGCCCTCCTGGTTCTCCGTGCCCGAGCCATTGAAATAAAACCCCCAAATACATGCTTGGTGATATTGACGACCCAGTGCATCCGTCCTGGTGTTCTGCTCCCGCCCTGACAACAGCCGGAGAGCTCAGGACACGGAGGTTTACCTTCTCTGAGGTCAGGGGCAGGGGAGGAGGGAAGAGAACCAAGCCCCGCGTTCCTCCCCTACAGCTGTGAAGCCTCGTGCGCACAGAAATTCTAAGCCCCGACGTGATCCATGCTCAGAAGTTGGCCTGCAGCTCTCGGAGCTGGCAGACTCATGCCTCCAGCCCTCAGGGCTTGCAAGGGCCAAATGCACTGTGGAGGTGTGACTCACTGATTCCCAGAGGAAAAGGAGGCAGCCAGCTGGCAGAGGATTACTGAACAGCCAGGCCAAAGAATTCCATTGCTGTTTGGATGGAGACAAGCAGCTCGCTACCTCCCTTCTCCTCCTCCCCCACTGAGGCTCAGAGCTGGAGGTGAGCCAGGGCTCTGGGGGCAGAAGAGAAGGAATGGAGCTGCTTCGCCGACTACCAAGATATGGGGGCTGCGGCCGTGTCCCCAGGGAGTCAAGGCGAGAAATACGTGCGTTTTCATTTGAAGATGATTCTGACACCCCCAAATGTTTACCTAAAAAATACCTAGATGCATTGCCCAGAGGTAATTTTTCAATAAGCAGACTAGGTGGGCCAGAGAAATAATATTGGCTAACAAACAAAAAAGGCCAGTGTGTACGTCCCAGCTCAAGGATTGCCTCCAGTCTCCTGAAGAAGGGATTTCTTCCCCCTGCACCTTGGGTACCACAGGTACAGAGTCATCGCACGGCCATTCTTAACCCTGCTGCTCTGAAGAAACTCGCTGCTCCATGAACCCAGACCCCCTGGAGACCTCCCATTTGACCTACATCCTTCCAAAGATGAAGTCATGAAACATCACGATAACTATTTCCCCTGAAGTTCATGCAAAGAACGTAAGCCAAGGAGCCCATCCGAGCTCCTTCCCCTCCAGGGTAGATAATGAGTCACTTGAATTGAGGTCACGGCGGGACCCTTTCTCACCCACCTCTGCCCCGTCTATAGGATAGTGACAAAAAACACTCTCTCCTGAGCCTCCAAGGCAGTTGGGAGGACAGAACGTGCCATTGACTTATAAGACAGAAGGTCAAAGAACAATCTCTCCTTAGGTTGCCTTGACCTGGGGTGCCTTCACTGACTGTGCAGTTCCAGAGGCTTCAGTGTCACTTCCCATTGTTCCTACGGAACACCCGGCAGCTTCCACGATGGCGACGATCCAGCTGGTTTGAAATGTGTTCCGAGGCGACCCTAAATCAAGTGGATTTAACATGGAGCCAGAAGGAAGGTTTTTACAAATAAGCTGGTTTTAATCCATCCTTGCTGGCCACGTGCACTAGGATTCTAGCTTCCTTCAGACACAGAGTTTCCCCTTCAAAGGAGTGCGAAGGGGATACAGGAAAGGAGGCGCTCTGACACCATTCCCAGCTGGTGTCCCGCAGTTCAATGCTGGCCTCTCCACTCAGATGGTGATGTTAGCACAGACCCCACTCGGCTCCAACTGTCCCCACTTCAGAAGCCAGACACAAGTTCAGGAGATGCGCAGCCAACCCACACTTCTGATTGACTAGCTACAAACTCAGGGGCTCCCACAACCCCCTCAGGTCAAGTCACACAGCTCAGGAAAGTGCTATACTTATATTTACAGTTTTGTTATAAAGGATGCAACTCAGGGACAGACAAATGAGGAGATGCATAGGGCAAGGTCTGGGAGGGTCCTGAACACAGAGCTTTTGTGCCCCTCCTTGTGGAGTCAGGGTCCGTCGCCTTCTGGGCACATCAATGTGTCTACCAACTGAGATGCTCCACTGAGTCTGAGTGCCCAGCGGTTTTAGTGGGGTTTCATTACGTAGGCATAATTGATAAAATCACTGGCCACACGATTGACTGAATGAATCTCTAGCCATCCCCCTCCCCAGAAATCAGGCTGGCTCAGAGTCCCACCCTCTAATCACCGGATTGGTTCCCCTGGCAACCAGCCCCCATCCTGAAGCTTTCTAGGGGCTCACCAGGAGTCACCTCATTAACACAAACTCAGGTGGTACCTGAGGGGCTCATGAATAACAAAGGCACTGGGGAAGTTCAAGGATTTTTAAATCTCCCCTAATTTTTTATTATACAACAAGGGGCTTCTCCTTGGAAAAGTCCAGAACTGAGAAAGGAGAATGCATGAGAGCAAGATGTGCCTGGAGCTATGAGGTGCCGGCTCATTGGAGTAGGGCTGGCCTCAGCTGGCATCAGGAGACAGGAGGCTGGCACCTCCTGCACCAGCTACATATGACTCTTACATACTCCTCTAAGCCCCAGTATTCTCATCTGCAAAAGTGGCTTATCATAGTGTCTACCCCAGAGGTGTTGTGAGGAGGACTTGAGCACATGTGGCGCTCAGCGAGGACCCAACAGTAGTGTTCGTTGTTGCTGTTATTTTTTCCCCTTACCCAGGCAGTGACTCCACACGGCTGGAGTACAGGAAGGGAGGTCCACGATGTGCAGGAAGACGGAGGGCTCCTGGGAACCAGAGGCCCTTCCAGAGGGATGCACGGGGGCCCTTACTCGCCAGCCAGTCTGCCTGCTTGTCAGTTCTTGACTCACAATGCAGACAGACCTGTGTACCTGGGCCAGGGTCCTCAGAAGTGAGAACAGAACACTAAAAGATATTTTCATTCAGACCTACATCAGAGGAATCAAAAAGTCCAAAGAAGCAATACTGAGGCCAGTATTCTACCCAAATGTCTAGGGTATTATAGGGTCCTGATAGACAGTAATGTTAGAATTTAGATTTCTCAATTCTGAAAGAGCAAAAAGAGTAGAGTGACTTTTTTTCAAGACATTTTATTATCATGTATACACACATAGGCAAATAGATTTGCACCATCCAGCTCCACCCTCCCGTCAATCTTCACTCCCAGCCACGCAGGTCAAGAGCATCCTGGTCTCCGATGCTGTGGTGAGAGCTGAGCTCAAAGACCAGCCCTATTCAACTTCACAGGACACTACGCCAAATTCACCCTCCGTTATTTCACTGGTTTTGAAAGCAGATGATCATTTCTTAACAATTATTTTATCACAAATCTTGTTCTTTGGATATTTCAAGTATTTAGAATTTAAGATAAATTATCTTCTATAGAATTCAAGACTATGAGCCAGGGCTAAGTTTAGTGATTAGAAACATGCAGTTCTGTGCAAAGACAGTCACTCTTAATATTTTGGTGTGCTTACTCCCAGTCTTTTTGGTGATGCCTTTTTTTCAAATAAAATTTATTTTCTTATTATAAAATGAATACATGCTCTTTGTGGAAGATAGAGGAAAGGACCAGAGGAAAATAAGTCATCTGTCATCCAACCACCCAGCAATAACTACCGTTAACATCTCGTGATCTTGTTCTGGGTCTTCCTCTTACAGATAACATTTAATGATGAGCATTTTTCTGTCATTACAAATTCTTTAAAAACATGTGGGTGTGGGCCGGAGAATGAATGACCAGTGACAGAGGATCAGGAGATGGGACCACTGCCTCTGTGCTGAGGTCTTCCTGCCTCTTAGCTGCAGGCTGGCCTTCATCTTTCCTTCCTTGAGATTGTGATCTGTAATATCTTAATGATTTTCACACAGCATAAGATAATGGCGGGAGAGTAGTAGAAAGCTGCTAAGTGCAGGATGGCTACTGGTCAACAGGTGATAATGGAGATGTGCAATGAATGAGGCACATGCGCTGGAGGTGGAGTCAACAGAGCACAGGCTGGGGAACTGACCAGGTCGCACTCTGGGGCTGCTCCAGCAGTTGGGTCCCTGAGCTCCCCCGGAGGCAGAAGGATGCATCAGATGATAAAGGACCATGCACCATAAGCTGGTGAGGACAAGATGGGTAATCGTGCGTCTACACTTAGCCCAGGTCCTAGAGCGTGCAAGGGCTCAGGACTGCTAACTAATGTTCCCTCGTCCTGCTGTTTAACCCAGTCTTTCAGAACCGCAGCTTGCTCTAGCAGGTCATGTGTGAATATGCACAAACACGGAGCGAAAAGTGAGCAGCTGTTGGCTGCGGAAGCGTCGGCAGGAAAGGCTGGGTGGGCACCCACGGCAAAGGGCCCCAGGATCTCAGCGGCGGAAGCAATCGCGTGCCATCCTCACCGCGCTGCCTGCTCTCCCGTCACTGTCGCGGACCCCACCCCCCACTCGCTTCCACAGCCGCTGGCGGGGAGGATGAGGAGGATGCTGCCGCCTGCAGTGGGGGCGGGTCCGCCCGTCATTGCTGCCCCGCGGTGCCCTTCGTGAGGTTCCAGAAGTTATCTGGTCCGATGGGAGTGCTTCCTGTCGCCTGCGCTTCTCTTCTGGCTCCAGCAGGTGTGCGCCCTGGGTTTGGCTGTGGCAGGGCGAAGGGGGCGAAGGGGGCGTAAGGACCAGGCAGCTGAGGTTCTGGGGAGGGCTGACTGGCTGGAGGGTCGTGAGCCTTAAGTCCCCGAGGACAGTGTGTTTGATGCTTCTTCTGGACCCTCCACGTCACCTGGTTGGAGCTTTAAGCCTCACTGCGGAGGATCAGAGGGGCTGACAGGCCGAGGCCGGGGTGGGCGGGGCCTGGGGGTGTGGAGCTTCTGCCCAGGGGACACAGGGCCGCTTATGATGGAGACGCTTGGAGCCGGCCTCCACCACAGCAAGCCTTAACATGACATGCTAATGGGCTCCCTAGAGATCCCAGCCATCCAGCCTCACCCACGTTCCACTCCTCATCCCGTGCCTCACTGTCGGTTTCAGAGCCACCAGCCCCCTGGCCCGTCCTGCACCCCCAGCCTTCCGTGACTCCCAGGCCCACCCGTGCATTCTTTACTTGGCATCACACAGGGTCCGCATGTCAACACTGCTGTGCCCTACAGCTTCCCCAAATGGCCCTTCGCCCCACAGGCTACAGCTGCAGGGGCAGCTGGTCTGGTTTGATGCCCTGCTTGGATTTGTTGCATTCAACCCTGGGCAGCAGAACAGACGAGCAGAGGCCTCGGGACTTCCAGAACTATCCAACCAGAGAGCTGGGGTGGACAGGTGAGACAGCAAGGAGCAGGTGAGCTGGAGAGGCTGTGTCTATCCTGACCTTGGATCCAGCAGAACGGAAATGCTAGGAAAGGGGGGTGATGGATGCCATTTCGAAGAGAAAAGTCAATTTGACAGTATTTACTGAGCACTTATTACCAATGTGTCTAAAAAGAACAAAAGATAACCCCTGTCTTAAGGACCTTTCAGTCTCGATGGGAAGAAAGAAAAAAATGCAATAATTCCAGGAGAAGATGAGAAGCATTGTGAGAGCAGCAGGGGTGCTGAGGAGGAGAAACCTTTCTCAGAGGAAGGGTGTGGGGGTCCCCAGGGAGACTGAGCAGGGTGCTCAAGGCCCAGTAGCAGGTGAGGCTTGAGGGGAGAGAGTCCCCTGGGCTTCATGGGCTGATGTGAAGGCCTGGAGAACGTGCCTGAGGCTGCGAGCCTGTGGCTCTGTAAGGTGGGAGGGCAGTGGCTTCCTCTCTTCTCCCAGTCACAGCTCCAGTTGGGTGTCCGGTGGTTTGAGGTGACCCAGTCCACCCAGACAGTGGGGATCCCAGGAAGTAGCGGGTTTTAGCTCATTCCAAGAGGAGCTCGCCCACTAACCCCTGGGATGCATAGGGCACTTGTCTTTTACGGCAGAGGTACCACCAGCGCTATTCGCATCTCTGTTCTTCATCTTCGTGTGGAGCGAGATCAGGGAAGGGGTTGTCCTTGCTCTCAGAGACCATCTCAGGGTGGTGGGACACAGGGGGGGCTGCAGACGAGGCCACCAGTGTCCAGCAGTTCCTGGCCATGGCATGGTGGGGCCTCCAGCCTCAGATAGGTCGATGGAGCAGCCAGGACTTCACAGGCATCAAGTGGTGGAGAGCAATTCAAGGGAGCCAGATTAGGGGTGCTGGTGGTGGGCAGGCATTCATTGTAAGAGAGCATCCTCCCGCGGGAAGACTGCAACTGAGAGCCCGAGCATGGCTGGGAGCTCTGGGAACATTCTCTCCATCTTTATTTCCTGCTTTTCTTCACCTTTTCTTCATGCATCTTTCCCAGCAGATGGGCTCTCACTGGGTGGTGGAAGTTGGTGGCCCACAGAGCCCAGGTTGTCAGCTGAGAGTTACCATTGCCTGAAGAGACTGATTCTGTCTCAGTCCCAGTTCCGACATTCCTGGGGAGGCTCTGAGAATGGCTCAGCCAGGTTGGATGTCGTGTTCATTTTAGCTAAGGGTGTGGGGTCAAATCGCTCCCTGCACATGGGCTGGGTCGGGGGCGTGGGGTCCTGTGAGCTGGCACACTCTGCACCCAGGCTGCAGGCTGGCAAACTGAAGGCAAATGGGGTCCCTCAGAAAGAGGCGCTCTCTGGAAATGAGAGGAGACTTGAACCCCAACTCCTTCCACCTGGTCCCCATGGGGCAGAGCTTTGGGACTTGCTTCCTCTGGGAGGTATTGCCAAGAAAGGGCCCTCACTGACATTTCTTAGGGAGTTTTCATCCTTCAGTTCTCCATAGTTTCATTGTCTCCAATCACATCCTTCTGAGTTAGTGTTTATTTGGAAACTCACAAAGCCATTGGGGTCTGGCTGCATTTCTTGCTGTTTTCAGAGTGACTGATGCTGAGTTTCTGGCTATGGGGGATTTGGTGAAGTGGAGGAATAATTACCACATCACAGACTCGGCTACACCCGCGACACTTCATCTTTTCTCTTGAGTCCTCACAGCAATCCTATTATCTCACTACCATTTTGAAAATGAAGAAACGAAGAGAAAGAGGTGAAGCCACCTGCCTGGGATCACTCGGCCAGCAAATGCCTGGGCCGGGATTTCAACTGTCATCTCCAGGCTTCCTGTTTGGGGATCAAGACGCAGTCCCAGGAGGTCACAGAGGAGCATGGCGGCAGTCAGAGTTCAGAGGCAGAGGATGTGTTAGTCTACACGGAGGTGGTGGTTGATGGTCCCCCGCCTGCTTACGTGAGCTGTGGGATCTCAGGCAAGTCGACGTCACTGTGCGTCATTGTCCTCATCTGTCAGACAAGACGACAGGGGGCTGAGCTCGCTGGGTCAGCGAGGACGAGGTGAGCTAACTCTGTGTGACGCTGCTGGCCCCAGGCAAACGGTGCATATCAATATTTCAGATGTCAGGGAAGGGCTCCATGGATGTGAGTGACATGTTGGGACCAGGTAGGTGTCTTTTCAGAAGATGAAGAGGTGGCAGAGGAAGGTATAAGAAATGATGTGAGAGGGGAAAGTGGACCCCCGGGGGGTGGGGGCAGGAAGGAGATGAGATTGGCTGGAGAAGGGGTGGACGGAAGGGACTGGTAGGAGCGAAGACTCAGGCTCAGATGGACCAGGCTCTGAAACGCGATGAAGGAATCTGGGCTCCATCCTGAGGACCAGCCCCTGAGAGGAGACAGCAGGTATGCCAGGGGTGTGCTTTTGGGGAGCATTTTAGAAGGAGAGGGGGGCGGTCAGAGGAGGTCAGCCATGCCCAGTCTAGAAGTCATAGCTCCTGTGAGTGAGGGAGCCCCATTTACAGTGAGAACAGACCTGGATATTGGAGTTTAGAGTCCAAAGGCGGGCTCTGTTGCACAGCGTTGGCAAGCGAAAAATTCCTGACCCTCCACTGCTCTCTCTAGCTCCCCACGTCTGTGAGAGAAAAGAAGGTGAGGGATATTTCCAGAACACTCAGCCATCAGACACAACTCCTGAGATTGGCCTGCCCCTTTTCTCCCTCCCTACACACTCCTCTCACCGCACATGTGGAGGGCCCCAGGGGGAACAGCCAGCCTGGATGGCGTTTGAGAGTGGCTTCTCAGAGGGCGGCCCTGAATGTCTCAGCCGCCTCATCCCGTGCTGCTACTGCCACCCTGTGGTGGAAGCAGGAATTACACCCACTCCTCCCTCCCCTCAGTTCAGAGGAGCCCAAGCCTGTGGCCCCATCTGCCCTCTGGACCTACGGGGAAAGAACCGGTGGACCCGACACACAGGAAATGTTTCCCTTTTAGAAAGGGTAATGTAGGGATTGGACATTAGGTAAAAAATAGTATCTTTGGAGATGGGGGGTCCTGGTTCAAATGCTGTTGGGATTCTAAATTTTAGAATCCATATGAAACTTCTTTAGAGAAATGTCTGTTGCTGCTGCTGTGACCTCCCTTTCTCTGAACCCAAGACACCGTCTTTGTTTTTTGCTGAATATAAACAAGGGCGATTCCTGGGCAGCCTGAGATGCAGAGGCGGGTGTGGAGGCCACAGCTGTGACCACCCCTGCAGAGAGTCCAGAGGGCACCACCCAGTTAGGTGACCCAGGACAGTGCTGGCCCCTCTGCTGATTCTGGCTGCCCATGTCCCTGGAGTGATCCAGTCTGGCATTTCCTAGGATGTCCTTGTGCATCGATCATCTTTTCTCTCCTTCATCTTGGAAGGCACAAATGGGATGCCTTTTGTCAGCCCCTCCATGGAACAAGGGTGTGAGCAGTTGTGCAAGGAGCCACGTTACAGTGGGACAAGGATGAACTTTGAAATCCACCTGCATGTTCGAGCTGCAGGTCCTGGAGGAGCGAGTGGCTCTGGGCAGGTTATTTAACCCTCGCGAGCCTCTATTTCCTCGTCTGTTAAGGGTGGATGATCTCCACCGATGGAGGGGTTGTAAGGATCAGACGAGGTGTGTTTGCTCTTTATCCTGCTTACCCCAGACGGCGTAGGACTCAGCAAGGTCCCCCTTCCCCTACTCCCTTGGCTGTCTGAACTGATTGCACTGGGACCCCTGTGTTCCTGCCCAGGTAATCTTTTCCAATTTGGATGTAGGTGAAATCTGTATAGCCAGAGCATGCACCGCTGCCTTCCCAAAGGAACAGGCAGGGCCAGGCCATGGTGACAACCATGTGTGCCCCAGAGGACGTCCAGGGATGAGGAAACTCGGTGATTTGAAGAGCAGAAGGTAAGAGAGACTAAGGCAAGTGGCCAAGGCTCCCTGCTTGTCTGGACAGAGCTAGGACAGATGCTCAGCTGGGGTGAAGGCAGAGCCCACACATCTGCCTGTTCACTGGGCTGCCAGGGGAGCCAAAAGAGTCCAGACTCCAAGGGAGGAGAGACTCTTGAGCTGAGCCTGGATGTGCAGGAAAAGCTGGATTGGCCGGTGAGAGGGAGATGGGGTTTCCCCGTGAGGTGGAGCCACATGGGCAGGGAAAGGAGGTGACAGTGAGCAGAACAAGGTGGTGGGCAGCCTGGGTTGGGGGGAGGCTGCCAGACACAGGTGGCGGGAAGGGCACCATGGGGCCAGGCTGAGAAGACTGAGCCATCGTGGGCCATGCTGAGGGTCAGGGGGACATGCACGTGCAAATGTCCAGGAGGTCGGGGAATCGGCGCTCCTGTGAGTGGCCTCTCATACTCCAGGTTCATATTTGATGGCCTTGATTCATTTCTTATAACAGAAATTATTTACTTGTAGGTGAAAGGCAGGAGAAAGGCAGAAGAGAAACGTAATGGCGTCCCAGACAGGGCTCAGTGCCGTGGGGACAGAAGGC